TGTGTGTATATATATATGTGTGTGTGTGTGTGTGTGTGTGTGTGTGTGTGTATATATACGTGTGTGTATATGTGTGGAACGAAGAGATAGAGAGAACGCAAAGAGGAGGACCTGTTTTAATTACTCGTCGCCTTCCGAATGATGATTATTAAGCCGCTAATTATAATGTACGTGAAAATGAGTTGAGCTATATCCGCGAGACATCGCGTACGAGAAGATTTATGCAGCGTACATAACGCGCGCGCGATATACAGGCGATATGCGGTATACAGAAACGTGCAATTTTATGGAACATCGAAATTTTAAAAGTGCAGCTTGCACGTGTATGTACATACACACACGCACATCCAAAGATATGAATAAACAAAAATTCCATAAAAATAATACTCGATCGTAAATGCAAATTCACGTTTAGATTGTCAATTATATTTCCTGTAAAATTGATTTCCTTTTTTTTTTAACCTATCTTCTACCCTATATATGAGCGTCAAGTTTAACGATTGACACTCGAACATGACGTGGCTCATTATCGCGATGAAACTCGAACGTATCCCTGTATTGTTCGCAGGCATAACAGGCGCGGAGTGTGTTTCGTAACGTGCGGTAAAGTCCCATCTACTTGGCGTACTGTACGGCAGTTTGCGGCATTACTAGAACCAGAAGATTTCGAGCGAGTGGTAGAATGGGAGAGGACATTGTGGGGGCGAGAAATGGTGGCGGTCCCAGAGAGGAAGGGACGACGACGGGGGGTGGAGTCGTCGCAAACGTAATTGCGTTGCCAAGAAGTTTTCCCCGGGTGAGAGGTAACCAAGAAAATAATGAATGGCTTGGATGCTCCGCTACTGCTCTCTCGTTCCAGGAAGGAAACCGAGAGCGAGAGAGAAAGAGAGGGGAAGGAAGGGAGAGAGAAACGGCAGAAGTAGAGAAACGAGAAACCGAGTTTTGGCCGCGAGGTTCTCGTTGGCCTGGATTTCACACGGGGGAGAGATGAAAATCTCGCCCTGAGAATGAATTTTTCTCTCTTGTGCCAAATTGGACCAACGAAGATTGCTCTACTCCGAGCGGAGTCTTTCATAGCGCGAATGGCCCTTTTCTTAAAATAGCACTCGCAGTAGTACCTATAATACATTGTTATCCGCTATCGAAATATCGAAGGCGGCGCGAGATTTCAGCGCGAGGACTTTGCGCGGAATCCGCGCGGTTATACGCGAATATATATATATATATATATACACGTACCACGAGTCTGTGACAATACTTACCCGAAAAACTCCCCGATACCGCTTCTCCTCTTTTCTTTTCATATCCGCGTTCTCTATGGCATTACGAGGAGTTCGCGACGTGCGCTGAAACGGAAGGCGCAGATGCTACGGCTCGGTAATATCGCGAAAGCCGCAAGAAGCTCTCGAC